TAGGTTGATCTGACATAAGCTTGCTTTGTAAGAAATGCAGTGCAATCTTATTCACTAACTGTGTACCTGCAATCTACTTTAACCAGGTGCTAAATTTTCCACAAAAAAAAAAGAAAAGAAAAAAAGGTAATTGCCATTCATCACAAACATGCATTCTTTCTTTGTATGTAAATTCATCTTATTATAGATTACACTATTAGTATGCACAAAAATCTACTAACAAACCCATAACGATAAATGATGAACAACTCGAAAAATCCCACAGATTTACTGAATACATTTAAGGACAAACCCAAGCGATTTCTAGAGACCTGTTCTAACAAGCAACCTCACACTGTAACTCCTAATCTGAGCCGTACAGCTGCTCGCCTCATGAACAATATGTCACACTCTATGAGAGAAAGAAATAGCGGGAGATTTATAAAGAGGGATTGACAGAGAGAGAGGGATTGCTGGTATGCAATCGTTTCATATGCTTATTTACTAGATAGGAATAAATCATCATGCTAATATATGTAAAACACCTGCATTAGATATTCATGACATGTCATTGTGTGAAATTATTTTACTCTGAATATGCTGGGCTAAATATGTGCGTTCAAGCTGTATATCATGTATGCAGTGTATGCATTGCAGAGAGACGCTCAGACACGATGCATGAGATCCTGGTCTTTAATCTCGGAGCGCCGGAGCTCATCCGGTCGGGAAGGTGGTGGCTCCGGGTGCAAGAGCAGATTTGCTGTAATCCACAAGTCAGTTTTTTCACTGATAACAACCACAATAAAAAGACCGCCAAACACATAAACATGTAAAGGAGATATTAAAATAGAGTTAGAGCATTGAAACCGCACACTATTTCAGCCTGCGGCATGATAAAACTGTAAAAGCAAACACAGACTTACAATGTAAGTAAATGTATCCTTTTCTTATATACAATTATGCAGATTTAAATTTGACATTAAAATGAACATAAGTGAAGATTTTTAACCTTAACTTTGTAAAATATCAATTTGATATGGCAATCTCAAACTACAAATGGGCTGAAAAAAAAAATAATTAATAAAAAAATCATAAAAAAATAAATAATTAATAGTAAACATATCAAGAATTGAAGGATTACTAAATAAAAATAAGACTTTTAAGTAATTATGTATGTATATATATATAACATATATAATTTTTTTATTGTAGTATAATTTCTAATTAACTTTAAGATTTGTTAAAATTAATTTTTTTTTATTTTATTTAATAATTTATTTAATGAAATAATAAAAAGTCATAAGTAATATAAGTAATATACCTCTGTTTATCAATTTGCACTGGCTACCAATAGCTGCTCGCATAAAATTCAAGGCATTAACGTTTGCCTACAAAACCACCACTGGCTCTGCA